CCTGAATCTGGATATAACAGTGATCTTTGATAGTACTACAGGAGGGCTGAATTCGAACTGGGACCCAAGATCAGAGAACCAAGCAACCAGGTCCTATGGCAGAGAACACACTAGCCGAACTACCGAGTTGTCACACTAGAGGAAAAGGGCATACGCTCTGAAAGTATAAACCAAGAAGAGAGCATCCTTCAGGCACCTAAAACCTGGGCAGACCAACCCTTCTGAGTTGCTGGCTAGAAGTAAGAGAGGGACTGATAGAGAATCCAGATAAGAAAACGGTTCCAAATATGGGTACCGGGGTTGTTGTGAACCAATTAAGAGCAATGAGTATGTAATAGAAAACTAATTAGGAAGGTTGTGGCTTGAGATATGGATCAGATTACGGCAGTACTTTAAAGAGTAGCTTGAGATATGATTCAGTATTGGCAGCACAACAGGTACTAATTAGGAAAATATTACAGAACATGTAGGTGAATACATATGTGAGACATGTACCGCTCTGTTGGGCTTACTTTCGAGAATAGTAAAATGTTCTAAGTTGGCTGTTTATGTAGTGATGTTGCAAAACCTATGTTTGAATAGTGAGTTACACTTGCGTTAAGATGGGTATCAAACCAAATATGTTAAGATCTGAAGGTTTAAATAGGTACCCCCTAGTTGGGGTGCAGGTAAGGCAAATAGTGTAGAACCTTTGGGCAGACTACTTAAATTAGGCACTCAAAAGATACATGTGTAGCTATATGTATCTTCATCTATATATATAGTGTTTGAACCTAATTTAATAAAAATCACCAACCAAGAAGGTTTCCTTTAATTAAAAAAAAAAAAAAAAAATATCAATTTTAGTATATTCAATAATTTTATTTATTACTAATTGCTGATAATTAATAGCTTAAATTGGAATAAAATAGGCAGTGCTGATTTGAATTAGTTTATTAATTTAAATTCTGATTTAACTTAAATTAACAAATAAACTTTAATAGATAAAATTACCTATTAGCTAATTTTTATTAATCAGTAATTTTACTGATTAATAAATATTTATTACTAATAGTATACTAATTAAAAGACTTTAAAATAAACTATTAATTGCTGATTATTAACTAAAATAAATATAATTTAAAAATAAATTACAATCATGTTATAATATTTAAAATTAGATATATATTAAAATATAAATAAATAATAATAATAATTAAATAAATATTAATTAGTTCAATCAAACTCTTCCTGTCGATCACCTGGACCAAATTTTCCACTAACGAAAAACAAGTTTTTGTTAGAGAGTCATGGCCTAACTTATGGTTTGGCAAGAGGTTAATGGTTTTTCTGTCCAGGACTTCTTTTTAGACTGTTCAGCATGCAAACCAAGAGCATTGATATTCAAGATAACTGGCAGGTGGTGCCCTTGGATAAAAAATCTTGGTGGAGGGTGGGTAGTAAAGCCCAACTTCGTCGATGAAGCTTTTAGACTGTTACTTTGAAGAAGAATACAAGGAAAACAACAAATAACTCGAGGTTTTAATACACTTTTTAGAAAATTTTAAAGTCATTGCAGCCATACACCCTCAACTATATTCTTGCTAGATTTTAGATTTTTTAGGAAATTTTTTGCTAACAAAAAATGAGAGAATCAGCTTACCTCCTCCAAAAGATCTGCATTGTTTACAGGTCCCAATGCGGAACAGGACACTCCCAGTAGTACATGTTGTACTGTTTAGTACCAGGTGGACTGCTATTGGTAGGGTACGAATTTGGAGTCACAAGTCTACGTGTAGGATAATAACTAATGTTGATGTGAAGTAGAGAATTTCTTGCAAGGCTAACTCTACCCCAAAGGTGGATTTAAATATAATGTGGACTTTATTTAGAGTAGAGCTAAATAGAAGAGTATTATATAATTTTTACAACAACCTGATATTTCTGTTAGAACTTATTTCTTCCTGTTTGTTTTTTCTTTTTTCACAATCTGTACTTTTTATTTTCTTTTTCTTTTATTTTTTCTTTTTTGATCATTTTTTTTGGAAAAATTCTTTTTGTTTTTTATTCTCTTTATCTCATGCTCTTTGAAAAAAGAAAAAAATTAAAAAAGAAAAAATCCAGTCTTGACATGGTGAACAACAACCCATCAGTGATTAAGAGATGTACTTAAATCAGTACAAAATTCTTAGCAAGTTAAGGATCCTAAGAGAGACTAATTGTTGTTTTAGCAAGTTACATTGGGCTTTGGCTTGGTGAGTTTTTATTAGATCAGAACATTAAACTTCAAAGAAATTATGTATATGTTATTAGTCTAAAAAGTTGTTTAAATAAATAAAGACAAGACTGCTTAAAAAAAAAAAATTAAAAAAATAAAAATAAATAAATATTAATAAATTAAATAAATTAAAAGTTAAATATAGCTTTAAAATTTATATAAATTTTGAATTAATATCTTAACACTAATATTGTAAAATAATGCTTGGTTATGCTGATATAATCTTTATAAAATTTAATCGGTTATATTAAATTAGTGTTATAATTCTATAATATATATGAATTTATATGAAAATTAAACTATAAGTAACTATCTATAACTTTTTAATCTAATATTCATTTGTTATATGTATTTTATATAGTAGATATTAAATTAACAAAGATATGAATAACACTAATAGTATGTATTACATAGTAAATTACAAAATATGTATTTTCAGAATAGTAAGATTTGCTACAGTTTTTTAAAGTAACTTATAATACAAACTATAATAGTTTTAATTTAAGTTTTGTATAAATTTTTTTTACAGTAATTTATAATATAAATAAATTACAATAATTTTAATACAAAACACAGCTACGTATTATATGTTAAAAGTTCATAATAATAATTTTAATACATACAAGCTATCTATAACAACAAAATGTTTACAGTAACACACAATAAAAATTGTAATAATAGTTTCAACACAAACTATCTCAACTTTAAACAATGTATTTCTTATTTTGATATAGTTTGTAATCCTTAACAAGGAATTAGGAATGTAATTTGGCAATAAGAGATTAAAACATCTATAAGAATTAAATATATATAAAGATATAATTTCAGTTTATAAAAAGAATAATAATTATTAACAATTGTTAGATAATCCAATATATTGATTTATGTTAATAAAGAGAAACCTTAATCTGTAATTATGTATATTGGTTTATTGATTTAATTTTTAACTTTTAATTACTATTTGTTTATAATCAAAGCTAAATTGGTTCAAAATCTTATAAATTAGTATATAAAAATTTTTGAAAAGAAATTAAATATGTATAAAAAAATTAATTATTTTATATTCATAATTCTTTTGTGCAATTGTGTATATATAGTAACAAATATGCATATGTATAAACAAATATAATTAATTCAAATACTATATAAAACAATAATCTTCTTTCATATAATATATATAATCTAGTCTATACAAGATAAAATATCATTGCAAAAAAGATTAGCTGAACTATAAGTCTTTAGCTAATAAGCTGCATTAGTATTTTCACAATCTGAGATTTGCAAAGATATTTGTGTATTTTTTTGAGGATTTAAAACCAGTTGTTGAGGAAGTGCAACTGATAACCATTTACCACAGGCATTTTGTATAGCCACTCTCAATATTCCTTTATATTCACTAATTATCCAATTTGGTGCTTGAAATGGTTTTGTTTGTTCTTTTTTATAATAATCAATGCTATTATCAATTCATATTCATTTTTTTGGAAGCTTAGATGATTCAGCAAATATGGGATTAATGTAATTATGTAAAAAGGATCGTAACTACAAAATAGAATTTTTTTTTGGTATTAAGGTAACCTCTTTGGTCTAGAGACTTTTTATTAGAGTATAGACGAAGTTTTATAATATAATTACAACGATGGTACATCAAGCCACACATGCACCTTTTGAGTACCTATTTAAGTGGTCTGCCCGAAGGTTCTACACTATCTGCTATATCTGCACCCCAACTAAGGGGGTACCCATTTAAACCATCTGGTTCTAACTACCTCCATTTGCCCTCTAACCCGATAGGTTTCCTCACTATAAACTATGATAGATTTTGGTATCACCCAAACTAGATTTTGCATCCTACCTTAGGACACTTAACTATCCT